TACTACTACTATGGTTGCATTATAGATACAAGAAGACAACAAGTTTCATGGGGCCAGGGAAATGGTGGTGCTGAGAGTTTGTGGGAAACTCCCAGGGCAGGCTGCATTGATTGCTGCTCCTCAGGAGAATGATGAGGCATCCTACACCCATAAAGAGTTACTGTTTTCGTAAATTCATTGTGGCAGTTAGTCCTGTCCTGTAGGGACACTTCAAGTCAGCATCAACTTGATGGCATTTTGGTTTTGAGAATTTATGGCTAATAACATATAACCAGGTGTTCCCTAGATTCCCCCCACCCCTTCTCAGTACAGTAAAAAATGGTTCTTTTAACTCTTGATTACTTAAGTACCAGTACTATTTTTAATGAAATAAACTAAAATCCGGGGTTGACAATATTTTTGTAGCTGGTATGGAATTTAATCCCAGCAAAACTATTTTTAGTATTTATTTACCTTAAACTTCTCTTCTGGGATGCAAAATATCTTGTGGAAATTAAGATCTAAACGAAAAACATTTATATTTTGAGGATTGACATGTATGTTTTACAATACTGTTTCATAGCTTTTAAGTTATCTCAGTGCCAATGTTCAGATAATAAACATTTGTTTTCTTGCAGTTCTTTTATCCATTTGTTCACTGCTATGTGATCCGAACCCAGATGACCCCCTAGTGCCAGAGATTGCCCGGATCTATAAAACAGACAGAGATAAGTAAGTATAAAGTACCTTAAAGTTGTAACAAAGTTATTTTGCTTAAATTTATACTGTGCTACATTTGTTGTGTCAATGTCCACAAGACTTGATGATAATTTATGGTAAGGTTATAGGTGAAGTATACCAGATAGTTGAAATATTTGTTTTAATCACTAGGTTTTAGCTCATGTGACTGAATAGTTTCTTTGAAATGTTTTAAATTTTATAGCATATTCTTAAGTTATTGTTTAGGGGAAGATCACAAAATTTTCTATACCCCAGTTATATTTGAGACTGCACTGTTGTTACTGTTGTTAAATTAAATTTCTCATTATTTGGATTACCATTATGTTCGACATCACCATTACAACTTCAGTATGTTATAATTAATGCTAAGTATACTTGTTCAATTAGGTACAATAGGTTAGCAAGAGAGTGGACAGAGAAATACGCTATGTTGTAGGGTAAGAAGATCTGCACTCTGGTGCGCTTATTCATGGTACTGCCAGCCACTGGAGTGCTGCATGCTTTAAAGCACTGTATTAACTAACAAAAGGTAACAAGAGATGTGGCAGTTTTCATAAACACTGTATTTTTAACTGCTTGACTTCGTTTAGCTTTAAAGTGTACTTGCTTGGAAGTATTTTTGCATGGCAAAGCAGTTTCATAGTACTAGTAAGTAAATGACATTTAAGATAATATCCTTTTTTCATACTATGATGTTAAATTTTAAAGACTTTTATGGTCATACAATTCAGCATTACATGAAATGTGGTAATTTAGTACAAATGTTACCAATAGGTAGTAAGTAAGGTAAGGAAAAACCGTTTGAAGCCTAAGCATCTAAACTAAATATTTATTACTGACAAAGCATGCATTAGTGTCAGCTATATTTTGTTGCTCCCTGTATGCTAGTGTAGTCTGTTTTTAAAGTGCTGACCTTTTGAAGAAGGTATCTTTAAATGAGTGAACTATTAATAGTAAGAAAAATACTCCAAGTTTTTTAGAAATTAGAATTATGTTTCATTCTTAGTTTGAAAATCCACTTCGTTTGTTTTAAGCATTAAAATGGAAAATGAACATTCTCTTTTATTTGCTCTAAATTTCTTAAGATTACTGCTGTTTTGGGTTTGTTTGTGTGTGTGTGTGTGTGTGTATGTGTGTGTGTGTGTGTTTGGGTAAGTAGCTTGTGGCATGGATATGATTCAGATATATTGGTAGCATTCCTAAGTGTAAGTGATTTGCCTTGTGTTTGTTTATGTGTGAATTACCTGTTACTCTATTTCACAAAGATACCCACCTTCTACTTTCAGCAGTTCCCACTCAAGTCTCTGGTGAGGCTTATTAACTTAAGTCACCACTTATTTGGAAAGTAACACGTAGTTCAGAATTAATACATAACATTCACTCTTGGTTGCTCTTGAAGACCACTGCTCTGATTATCACCCATATCCTGTCCAATGTCTTTAATTCTTTTGTTTGTCCCTTATGTCCTATAGGCATCTTCTCTTCTAGATAGGATCAAGTTATTTCTTTCAAAGTTTGGGATGAAGATAGATTTGGGGTGGGGATTATGATCTAATTTTGATGGATTTTATTATTAGCTATAGAATGTATGTGCTATTCTAACATAAGTCCAAGCTCATACTGAAAATAATTTTGTAAATGTTAATGTGCCACAGTGAGTATTTTGCTTAATTTTAGAGTTTCTCATAAAACAGCTCAGTAGTAGGAGATAGAAAAGTTCTCATTACTGCCTTCAGTGCTTAGAGCTCTCGTCTCATTGTTTAGCGTACCATTGCTATTTCTCTTTATTCGGTAGTTTATATTCTGATCGCAGCTATTAAAAGGATATATCCATGATGAGCCTGGCCATAAGAACTCTTTCAGAGCTCTTAAGTACTGAGAATTCTTACACTTTATTTTAAAGTTTTAAATAAAATCTTCTTCATTTATAGGTACAACAGAATATCTCGAGAATGGACTCAGAAGTATGCCATGTGATGCTACCTTAAAGTCAGAATAACCTGCATTATAGCTGGAATAAACTTTAAATTACTGTTCCTTTTTTGATTTTCTTATCCGGCTGCTCCCCTATCAGACCTCATCTTTTTTAATTTTATTTTTTGTTTACCTCCCTCCATTCATTCACATGCTCATCTGAGAAGACTTAAGTTCTTCCAGCTTTGGACAATAACTGCTTTTAGAAACTGTAAAGTAGTTACAAGAGAACAGTTGCCCAAGATTGTTTTTTTTTCTGTTTTTTTTTGTTCAGTTCTTTTTTAATGGAGCATGTGTATTATGTGGCCAATGTCTTCACTCTAACTTGGTTATGAGACTAAAACCATTCCTCACTGCTCTAACATGCTGAAGAAGTCATCTGAGGGGGAGGGAGATGGATGCACAGTTGTCACAGCAAAGGAAGCAGCAGCATTCTAGCAGCATCCATTCTTGTTTAAGCCTTCCACTGGCAAGAGATTTGAGGTTACATGATATACTTTATGCTCATAACTGATGTGGCTGGAGAATTGGTATTGAATTTATAGCATCAGCAGAACAGAAAATGTGATGTATTTTATGCATGTCAATAAAGGAATGACCTGTTCTTGTTCTACAGAGAATGGAAATTGGAAGTCAAACACCCTTTGTATTCCAAAATAGGGTCTCAAACATTTTGTAATTTTCATTTAAATTGTTAGGAGGCTTGGAGCTATTAGTTAATCTATCTTCCAATACACTGTTTAATATAGCACTGAATAAATGATGCAAGTTGTCAATGGATGAGTGATCAACTAATAGCTCTGCTAGTAATTGATTTATTTTTCTTCAATAAAGTTGCATAAACCAATGAGTTAGCTGCCTGGATTAATCAGTTTGGGAAACAATCTTTTGTAAATGCAAAGCTGTTTTGTATATACTGTTGGGATTAGCTTCATTGTTTGACATCAAATAATGATGTAAAGTTCAAAAGAGTGAATATTTTGCCATGTTCAGTTAAAGTGCACAGTCTGTTACAGGTTGACACATTGATTGACCTGATTTATGCAGAATTAATAAGCTACTCAGATAGTATAGCTTTAGTATGCTGCACATGATACTGGCAGCCCTAGAGTTCAAAGATGGACTTGGGACCCAGCAGTTTCGAAACCTGTATATGGAGTTTAAGAAATTTATTTTCCAGGTGCAACCCCCATTTAAAATTTTTCTTCACCATGTACACTGACAGCTTAAAAAAAAATGGGAATAGTAATGGGTCACATTTTACAAAATAAAGTACTGTTTTGGTGTGGGAGTTGTCATGAGGATGTGTTGAAGTGACTTTACTATGTGGGATATTGAGTATCCATTGAAATGGATTTGTTCAGCCATTTTACATTAATGAGCATTTAAATGCAACAGATATCATTTCAGGTGACAACATGAATGAATAAAAGTCAATGCTATTGGATTTTTGTTTGACAAGTGCTATCTGTGCCACAGATTTAACTTCTCTAGTAACAAAGGCATTATCTTCACCCTTCCTAATTCTGACACTAGTTTTGCTTTTTACCTAGTTATTCTCATTTGTCCATGCTTTATTACAGTCCTGTATTCTATTTTGAACACATCTGTGACTTTGCTCCATTTTCACATTTTTTGCACAGCTTACACAATGGTGCAGTCTTATTCCTTGTCTGCACATAGATGTGGTAAGCTAGATAGAAAATAAATGTTAAAGCTTGATTTTTATAAACATTTTAATATGCCTTTTGGACATGATTTATTGGCTTAGGGTTGTTCTCTAAACTGGAAATGCATGCCTTCTGAAGAAGTTCTGACTGTTAATTCTGTAATAAGCAGTTCATTGGGAAATAGCAATCCAACTATACAATTTTCCAGTGAGTGAATTTTTTTTTTCATTCTAATGCTTTAAAAATACTGGTAGCTTCTTAAGGATAGATGTACTGTTATGACTTCTTTTGGGTTCAAATTATGAATGAGAAATTAGTAACAATACTCCACAAGGTAAGAAGTACTGCTTTTTGGCTGTTTCCAAAGTAATAACTTCTGAGACTCCTATACGCTGAATATACATACAGCTTTAGTAGGCAAATCATTTCTTGGAAGCCAACTATGAATTGAAACAACCTGTCAGCTTCAGGATCCCTAATTGGTTTTCAGATTGACCTCTTTAGCCTTAGATAACCCTTAGGTATTACAGAGATTACTTCTGTCATCAGTTGTCATACAGATGAATAATACGTTCTGCTCTCTGCAATATTTCATATGCCACGTCTAAGGGAATAAGCCATAAAGGCTTCTCCAGGTTTGAAGAGAACAGTAATTTAAAGTACCTGGAAAACCAACATTTTTGAATGTATGGAAACTCAGCTTAAGACTATCTCTAATGTAAACCTTCAAAAGAACCCAAGAATTCGCCTTCCTTCCCTTTGACATACTTGTGCCATGTGTAGGGCTGAAGTGAATATTGGCAGATTAAGAGTTGACTTTGGCTCTGCTTGTGTATTTCCTACATCTTTTAATGCATAAATTCATTTTCAATGAATACTTCCAAGTTTCTCATTTATAGGGATTATAGTCCAGTTGGCCTGTTGATGGTACTTAAAAATGTACATTTTAATGACCTATGCTCTTGGGCAAGTTTGCAATGTGATAATCAGATGTAGGAAACTTAAAAAAACAAAAACAGTGATTAGTTCACTTTCATGTGTGGGTGTGCTCACATTTTAAAGTATGAACCACAGTTAACTAGTGGTCTCAGGGGTTGTGACTCACTCACTTTTTTTAATGGCTTAGTTGAAGTATACGTAAGATGCTGATCATGCTGTGTTAGTGATTCTGGGAGTGACTCAAATTAGCCATGTTTTGTGTTGGCATAACAAAACTGTTAAATGATTGTCAATTACACTTTTCAGTGACTGTCTTCTATTTTATGAGGAACCCAATGCAAGTCACTAATATTGTCTAATAGTGACAGTTGCATAACACTTGTAATAGTTCATTGAGCTTAAAGGAATTGTTACCATTAAAGTCTGTGTTTAAAGAAAGACTTTGGTCTTACTCAGTAATTCCAGCTAACACATGAAATCTGCACTTGAACTTAATAATTGTATGCTAAATTTGGACTTCTTAAAACAATTTAAGAGAGACATGAATTCTTACTATCTCAATAGTGTAGGGGCCTTGGCACTGTCGTTGAGCACTCAACTCCAGCAGTAGCCGTCCTTCAGGAGAACACCAGCTTCCGCAAAGATGTGCAGCTTTGGAAAAACCTACAGAGCAGTTACTCTGCCCTATAATCTGAGTGAAGTGACAAGCAGTGTTGGTTTTGTTTTCCCTCCGCATAGTGTGGTCTGGTGACCAATAAGATATTTTGAGGAATTCTTTAAGATACAAATCACTGAAGTATACAGTATACACCCAAATTGAACTATGGGGTGGTACCCAGCAACCTAAAAGTTCTCCAGGTAATGTGGATACATGGTAGAATTAAAGAGCCACTTTTAGATAACTGGCTCTTTGTAACCTTAGTTTTACTTCTGTTTCTTTGTAAATGGCTTTATTTGTAGAACTTGTTAATACTGTTTAGTACTAATGACATCTTAAAAATCATAGTAACAATCTTTTACACAGAATATTAAAAGGATATCTATTTCCTGCCCTTTCCTATTTGGGATTACGGTCTAGGGATATAAATCTAACATAGTTTAAGCCAGGAGAAATTTAAAATAAGTAAAAACACTCTCAGCCTAGCACTAAATAGAAGGGTAAGTAAAAATAACTGCTACTGGGGCTCTATCTAGTTTATTCCAAACGAAATGTTCAAACATTTCTGTAATTAGTGAATTTTAAGTAAATTCCATTATACATTTGCTATTCCAGCTCCCTTATAAAAAGCTCAAGCAGCTCTCCGAGACCTGGTTTTCATTGTAATGCTGTAAACAGCCACACTAACAAACACACCCCACCCCAGCAAAAAATGAAGGTGTTAACTCAATTTGAGGTGTTAAGGTGGAAGAAATAGTAGTGAATTTGGATTTTAAAACCTGACTCAGCCAAAACAACCAGTGTTAGGGACCATGTTAAAAGATCTAAAGCAAACTAGAAAGCCTAGAAAAATTTGTAAAGTTACCTGAATTACTTGTTTGCATTCTTTCCTGCTACTTTCTTTACTCCTTGGTCGTCTTACCTGTTACATTGCTTTTGATCATTTTTTTGACATGCCTAATTTAATGCCCTGTTAAGCATATCTACCATGCTGTCCATTACTTGTGAATAGGTTATACTAAGACTTTTTCATTTTGTGTGTGTTGTAGTAAGTAGTTTTATGAAATTACATACATACTATTGGCTAAAATGAGACCTGGTGCATAATGGGTTGCAAATTGGCTGCTAACTAAAAAGTCAGCAATTGGGACCCACCAGCCACTCCTTGGAAGACAGATGAGGCTTTTTGCTCCTATAAATATTTGCAGCCTCCGAGAACCCAAGGGACGGTTCCAGTCTGGCTTATGGGTAGTGGTGGGTTTGGGTGTGGTTGTATTAGCCAAGTAAAAGTAGTCGCCACCTACTTCATGGTGATGCATGGCAGCTCCATATGTGTGAGAATGGTGCCCCACAGGGTTTGTCCACAGCTGAAGTGATTGCAAAGCCCTGAGGTCCCTGTGGATGGGCACATGTTGCCAACCTTTTGAGTATCCAAGTGGATATAAGCAGACTCCATAACTGATTTTTTGTTTACTATATAAAATTTGAAGTGTTGAACAAAGTACTTCCAAATCTTCGTTCATTAGGATAACAATGAACAATCCTGACTTTCAGCAGTGTCTCCTGAACTCCAGGTTTCTGTCTATAGCTTCTTATTCAGTATCCACCTATAAATATTTCCAAGGGTAAAACTACAAAACATAACTTCTGAGACAGCTCTTAAAATGTTTAAAACAGACCTGATTTATATAAACACACCCTACCTCTTCCTGTACTCAGTAAATATAAACTTGTTTTTTCATTTACACTGTTGAACTTGTATGTTCACACTCTACATCCAAGCAAATAGCAATTCTTGTCAGCTTCTTGAAACTTGACTCTAATCTAAATTCATGTTCGCATAGCTGCCATAATTGGTAGTTCTCCCTCTTACTTGAATTGCAGTCGTTTCAAGAGGTCCCCTACTACTTCCCTTCCAGCAGTCTCAGCACTCAGGCACAATCTTGAAACCTAAGTCCCGTTGCTTTGCTCCAACCTCCTAATGGTTTCCCATTGCATTTCTAAGTGAACTGAAATACTACAAGTAACTTCAAAGGCTACACGTCATGTTCCTACCACTTAACCCCTCCATCTGCAATCGCTTGTCTGTACCACCACTGCCAACTCGGCTCACACCAGCTTCTCTTCAAGCTGCAACACGAGATTGCTATCTCATGAGTTTTGTTTTGGTCCTTTGCCTAGCTCTTAATCCACGTAACAGCTTTCTCCTTTATTAACTGTAGATCTCTTATCAGTATCACCATAACAGTGATTTCCTTGGACGTCCTATTTAAGATAGCAACACCACCATTATATTGCGCCACGGCATATTTAGTATTCACCCTAAATGTAATGCTGTTGGCCTCCCAGCAGTCACACCCCAGATTGTTAAGCAGCATGAGGCAGGGAATGCTTTTGCTCTATTGATTTATTCTTTGATATATCATTGCCTGGCACATTGTGGGTGATCAAATATTTAATAGACAACTGAGTTAAATTGGTTGACTTGCATTCCTTTGTTGACTAACTTCAAAGGTACAAAAATGGAACCTTTGCAATACACTACAGACATCTTATTTAAAAGCACCTGTTGAAGTCAGTGACCTTACGAGATGGTAGATCTGCCCCATAAGGTTTCCAAAGCTATAGTCTTTAAGGAAGCAAACAGCACCTCTTCCTCCCATGAGCTGATGGTGGATTTGAACCACCAGTCTTGTAGTTAGCCACCAAGTGCTAAACCACTGTCCCACCTGGGCTCCTTGTTCTCAGCTACTGTGAGTAAACTACCACCAAACTGCATGAGTAGACATTTCAATTTCTGGCTATCGTTACTGATCTGTGACGAAATAAAGAAGTACACTCAGGCCTAAATCCAGGAACCCAGAGTGGAAGTAGAACACAGCTAGATGCTGACTTCCTCAAAAGAGCATTTGTTAAACCAAGGGAAATTGAGCTTTAGTGTTCATGCTATGGCAGTGTCACAGAGGAAACGGAAACCTAAATAAGGAAACTATCTTGGACCTTGGTGCTCTGGGGTAGGAGAATACTCTTCCCACCCCCCCAATGATTTGTATAACCGGTTTTGTGAAGAATGACACCTCTTAAGGTTTTCTACCTAGGTGAACACAAAAAACAAGTAGATAACTTTTTGAAATAGTTCCCATTCAGTAGAGCAACCAGGTGCTGGCAAAAGAGCGTGCG